AGCGCTTAGGCTAATAAACAAAAATTGTAAACAAAGATTCTCCAATAACCCGTTTGTTGGACTCGTTTGTGGAGACCTGCGATGGACTAGCACCCTACTCACAGGGAGTAAAGACAATCCGGGCTGCTTCATGATACGGAAACCGCAGTCAAGCGCCAACCTCGAGCCAGTAGGCTTCGTCAAACTGGAGAACAAAACAGTTTCATTGTTCTCTTAACTCAAATCAAACTCTAAAAGTTTTGAAAGCATACCTTTGGACAAGTCGTACACCTTCCTTCTTCTCCTCAATAAATAAAATAGTAAAAGCCCGAAATACACCGGCAGTGACAGTGTAGTCGCCCACCACACAAAAGGATTACCAATGCAAAATATTTGAGCCTGAAAAGACAATTTAAGGCCACATTTAGCTGTGCTTTCATATCAGGGTTTGGTGAAAATGAGATGAAGTGAATCTCAGTGCGGTAAACCTTACATTGTTGTCTTTAGCAATCCAAAATGCCACTCCTCTTCTCATCAGCGGCCACCAAGAAGGACGCGAACCAAACGTGTGCTCGTTAGCAAGTTCCTTACTGGACTCTAACATCTTGAGCTGAAGTGAAGAAAAAGATAGATATATCGGTTTTGTAAGAACTACTGACAGACTAAAGTAATCGATCAAAATATCAGAAAAAGGGAGGGGAAACAATTTAACAAACCAAACAGATTTCCCAGAATAATTCTGTTAAGCGCGCTGGTGCTAAGGGAAAACTTGCTGTTGGTAGCGATGTTTACAAGTTTTCCCACGCTTGATAAACGCGAGAAAACGTGCAGCTGGGGTCAAGCGCCAAAAAAATTAAAATAAAATAAAATCAACACTAAGCAGGGGAAATATGCAGTTGGCTTTAACTAAGCATGGGAAAATACGTCAGTAGTTGGTGCGAAGCGGAAAGAAGAAAAAAACTTACTTTGCAGAGTCTACACGTACCTGTATCTCCCAAAATTTAGAGAAAAAAGGCATCGGCTTAAACGCTCTCTCCAGTGGCTCAGGTTTCTTTTCAACCTCTGTTGGACCTTTACCTTCAGCTGGTAAAGAGAAAGACAGATTTGAAAAGGAATAATAATGACATGAGAGCACAAGAAAGGACATGGACTACCAGAGCTTGACCCGACTTAAAGGATTGGACAGATTAGGAGTCTGGACTGCAGTTTAAAAATCAAAAGTCTTACGATAAAACTTACGATAAGTTATGTTTTGCTGATGTTCCTCTACGTTCCAGATTGTGTTAGTCTGTTTGATGGATTTATCCGTGCAGACTTCAAGTTGGTGAAAACCCCAGTCTGGCAACTGCATCCCCGATATCTAAACAAAACATGCACGAAAATTAAGCAATGTCCTTTTTCTGTACATTTAACCTTTATGCCTCACTTTAGACAGTGGCAGAACTACCGTAACTTTTGTTTCCTAGTAAATTCACTTTCCCTACCTCCATAGAGTTTTTTATATAATATGTCGAATTGTTCATTTTGACTGAGTCTTACCAATGACCTATTGGAGGAATTTTTTTGTTCTTTATTACATAAAACAAATAGATTCCATGCTGCCGTGCGTCTGTTCAGTAACTGATCACATAAGAAGTCAAAATGTGGGGAAGAGCAACAGTAACACACTCGACCATCGCCTCGTGTGTCACTTTTTTTTTTTATCTTACCACATTTTGACGTCCTCTGTGATCTAGTAGGGAGCTTAAGCACGCGCGTTTTTGAGACGCGGACGGCAACCGGAAGAGAAGATTTCGCATGCTAGGACCGTATTGTCTCCCAGATTTTTTATGCTACTCATCTCTAATGAAGAAAAGATACTTAGCAATGTGAATATGGTTGTGTGAGGACAAGTTAAAAGTGAAAGTAGCTCACTTCCGGTTATCGTCCGCGTCTCAAAAACGCGCGTGCTTAAGTTCCCTATTACTGAACAGACGCACGGCAACATGGAATCTATTGCAAGGTCATTAAAGATGTGTACATTATTCATCGTGGTGTAAGATAGGGTAGATGAATTTTCACTCGTTTGTCTCACGATGGAGTCACTTTAAGATGTAGATAGCGACTTTTCGACTACTATACTGCTACATTCTAGTCTTCATCAGGCGATGAGGTAAACTGTTGCGTGTCGCTATTTGTGGAATCTATTTTTTGAATGGAATCTATTTGTTGAATGGAAACCATTTGTTGAATGGAAACACGATTGGAAGTTTGGGAAAACGAGAAGTAATAAGGGAACACGCCCAAACGTTAACGAGTGTTCTCATAACTTGATGGAAACACGAGAAAATGCTGCCTAAAGAATATGTTTTAGAAAAGACTCCAAGAAAAAGAAAGGAACATCATACTGCTCTGTGTTTATATCGAATCGAAGAAGTATGGCTTTTAGCAAGCGCTTTCTTATAGGGTGTCTTTCTAAATACCTTAACGGCCTGAGAAGTATTAACATGAATCAGTCGGACTTGCGAGTGGATGGTCTTCCAAACGTTGCTGCTGTCTGGGTTGATTATTTCCTGTTGGTGATGGTAAAACAACAACAAACAGTTCGTGATCCAACGACAAACAATGGCAAACTCGGTCGACATCTTTGTGCTAGCTCGACAAGTTGGGCGCAAACTCGGACAGTGCAAAGCCAACTCGATTAACTTCATCGTGTTTTGAATCGGGGACCGGATTCATTAGACATTACAAAACACAACAATATAGCTTTTGTGTGATACATTTTAACGTACATACAGCCATACATACCACTTTCCACAGGTTCTGAGCAGCCATGGAAATGTTGTAGTCAATGTAACAGGAGACTTCCTGGTTGGCCGGGTTCAAAGGAGCGGCAACATCATGGCTAATCATTGACAGGGAAAGATAACATCTTAATCAGGAATTACATAGGAGGTACTGCTTACTAAGGTGGGCAGCAAGGTGGGGCACTGGCTGAGCTCATTGGCTCATTGGTTCGACCATGGACTTTCCCTATCTCACCCTGCTTATCAGAGACATTTTCTGTTGTATGAATCACAATCAAATTACACAATGACATATATGTGGAAGCTTAAGCAACAACAACAAAAACGTTTTACCTGTTTAAAGCTCTACCGGTCACTCCATGAACAATTTGAATGATGTCACCATTGCGCACGGGTCTTGGCGGGAAATCCACAGAAAGGGCGTCTCTGAAATGATATCAGTGAAATATCTATTAGCATGATTGAATAGATTAAAACCTGTCACATGTACAACATCAAGGACAAGCAATAAAGTACAACTGCTGTTAGTAAAGCAACACAAACAAAAAACTTGAAAAACTTGTTCTAAATCAAAGACTTACATTTTAGGGTCTTTGACAATCCACCAGTTATTGACATCCTTAAAGCCATAGCAAGTGACCTGCTGCTGTGCTGAGCTGCCACGCCCATCAGGGTACTTGACGGGGTAGGTGTGTGTGTGGGAGTGGAGCCAGCATTGTTTGCCAAAGGTGTTCCGCAGGGTGATCTGAGAACCATATGCTACCTCTAGTGTCATGAAATCAAAGTTAAAATGCCATTAGCATGATCTAGATAAGCTAAAAGCTGTCGCAAGTACAACGTAGGGGACATGTCATAAAGTACAACCAAGAAAAAAGGAAAATACATGTGTAATTGGGCGGTACAAGAAGGGAAAACGTGACTGGTGACATGAGTGGGAACACACCTAGTCAGTACCAACCGTATAATAATTGTAAACCAAAAAAAAAAAAAAATGAAAATTTAATTTTTATTTGTAGCCACAAAACAAGGAAGAGCTCTCGTGGACTTGTTATAAATTGTTCCTGCGTAGAGAATGGATTTTGAGCCTGACAGGGTACAAAACAAAAACTGTGCATTTGATATTTTGGCAAAAAGCCGTTCTAAAGTAAAACTACCTAATTCTAAAAATCAGGCTGGAATATCAGGGATATGATGAATTGTTTAATTCATTCTCCACTATAATTGCTTCTTTACATCTCTGGGGATCAAAGGAAATGACTATTGTACAGCCAGAACTTACCAATTGGTTGACCATGTGTAATCTTAGCCAGTCCTCCCTAAAAACAAAAAAAGAAGCTTACAATCAGTAGTTACATGCATCAAATTTAAAGGAGCTCAGTCATGGTATTTTGAGTTATTGTGGCCATGTACAAAATTACCTTTAATGGTAGGAAACCTGAAAATAACAGTTTAATAAGATAGAAACACACCAAAGAGATAAAAGAATAAACCATAAAGGAACAAGGATGGCTACGGATGGAGTCAATTAACACGGATTACAGATGATGAATTCGAAAAATTGAGACTTTTCAATAGATGCAAACCGTGATGTAGCTCCTTTAAGGAAAACAAAATTCTAACAATGAGGTGACAACAGTGTATAATTGAAACCAAACAGAATCAGAAGACCTGCATTTTAGTTATACCTCAAGACTGGCTTGGAATGCACTTGACATCATGTCGTCATGGGGACCAGTCTTTCTTGCAACAGCAAACAGAATGTAAAACTGTAACAGGTAGAGCATGCTGGGAATGACAATGAGACAGGCTACTCGGCTTATCACATGTCTGGCAAGTTTTCTCTGCAGGGAAGAAAAGGCAGAAGAGCTTTAATATTATTACTTAGTAAATTACTGTTTAATAAATTTGATTAGACTCCTAGCTGAGGATTTCTTTCAAGCCTGTGAAACTAAGAATGAAAAATGTTCCTCTTAGTTAAATTGCACAAGCTAACAGGGGATTCTCTCTAGCTTAGCATAAGCTGAGAATTAATATTTGAGAAAACCAGTATCTCTTTATTTCTAGCATGAATGCATGCAGTTGTCATCTATGTTTATCAGTACACTGCAGCGGAAACTGTCAATGGCAGACGATTGGGATACAGGTTAATCAAAATGTCAAGCAATTTGGTTCATCATGTAACTAGAATGTCAAGTAACTTGCACGTATATTTTATTACCAGTTTATTGCAAAATGTGATCTGAATCTTGAAAGGGAAGTGTTTGTCCTAAACAGCTTTACTGCTTGTTGTACTGACTTAATGACATTGCTACTTACTGATGGAAGAGAGTGGTCCCCAATAAGTTTCCACAAGTCACGGCCAGTTAAAAATCCAACAGCAAAAAAGGTGAAGATGCCAGTGTATTTAGTGCTAAAGGAAAATGAGCAGCTGTGTTGAATCATCTTTTGTTGCTAACAATANTGAAGTGGCTTAGCAATAGAGGCTCAAAAAGGCTGCATGGAAAATCACTCACTATCATAACCTGGTATATTATGAAAGCTGGTAACACAAGCTCTCCCAGGTGTCTTTAGGCTACCGCGACTGCTACTGCATATATTAGGACAGGGGACTTGAAAAAAATTGATCAAACTACAGTGTATTCATACCTCTTAGATTCTTTGCGGAACTTGAGGTAGCAGAGAAGGGATGCAGCACTGAAAAACAGGAGAGGGGAATCTAACATAACAAGTCTACTTTGTACCACAAACATGTTATCTGCAACAAAAAGGAACATCAAGGAATGACAGTCAGAAACTGGTATAAAATGATCTTGTGCAAACAATGTTACAGTACAACAGCCACTAGCTAATGATGATTTTTGGTATGTTTCTGACAGTCAGTTTCCTAACAAACTGCTGATAAGTAAACAGGTTATCTTTTCATTTTTCCTGTCCTTCCCTTATCTTTCAAAAAGATAACAAAACTCCAGCAAAAAATATCATGATCTTAAATTGAACATATACAACATCACATGTTGTAGACATCCAAAAAAGACACAAAAAAAACACAAGGGACTACATTTATATTTTGTTGACAAGCGCACACTGCTACGCTACTCACTATCTATTAAACAATTAGATTATTAGCTCCAGATTTCTATTGTGTGATAAAAATTGAGTGAATAATCTAATTGTTTAGTATAAATCTACTAGTCGTTCAAAACTTAATCAAAACCCTCTTCACAGACACTTAAAAAACATCGTTAAGCAGCCATTATTTTGTTAGCAAGGGCACACTTCTACGCTACTGCTGCTGCTACATGTAGAAAATCAATGGATAGTTTCTAGTTGATGCAAATGACCTATTTTTTCATAGTCATTAAATGGTTGTTATAAATCATAAATATTTTCATAGGTTTTAAATGTTAGTATTATAAATACATTGTGTACTTGTAATATTTCCTCAAGAGGATTTTTTTAACCGGCCTGGACGTAGTTAACAGACAAAGTTGTTTACATGCACATTTTGTGACAAAAAGTTCCAAATTGATTCCCAACTCAGTATCCTGAGATAAGAATACATGCTTCATTTACATGATTAAAAACTTACAGGTGAAGTTACTAGGAGTTAGTGACTGCTGAGCTATGAGAGACTAAACTGAAAATAAACATCTCACCAAATGTAGCCAAAAATCCACCCAGAGCTGCTGCCCAGTGGGAACAACCAAGCTCTATAATGACCTGAGAAGGGAAATAACAATTATTAAACCTGAGTATTAATTAAATAGAGTAATTTGACACAAAATTCTGCAGCTTTGGGGGATCATGCCTATTAAAGGCATCTGTGGTCGAGTGTTCCCTCGATTGAACCTCGATCAACATCTTGATCAACTCTTGATCAACATCTCCATCAATACTCCGTCAACACTTGATTGACATCTTGGCCATTAGTTGGCTGAGAGTCAACTAATTTTTCCAGACACGTCATAGAGTGTCGATCGATACATATGAGTTGGTCAACACTATGGCAACTGTCAACCAACTGTTGATCGTGTGTGGATGGATTGTCAATTGAGATATTGATCAAGCATCAATTTGAGCCTGGTTCACACTTGTGAGATAAGCATAACACAAGTGAAATAAGCATAAGTGCAAGCACAAGGAAAAAGGAACATGTTTCTTTTTCTTGTGCTTATTTCACTTGTGTTATGCTTATCTCACAAGTGTGAACCAGGCTTTAGAGTCAACTGAGTATTGATTGAGATGTTGACCAAGTGTCAATCAAGATGTCGATGCAGTGCTGATGGAGGGTCCATCGAGAGTATCGATTGACACTTGACTGCAGATGCCTTTAGTACACATGATCCACTTTTGGTAAGTCAGGGCTCGAAAAAAGTGCCGTCCCATTGTCCCAGACAAGTAGATTTTCCTTGTGGGCAAGTAACTTTTCATTCTCACTAGCTCGATGGGCAAGAGATCAATCAAGTCATCTGCCAACTAAATCAGGAAAGAGCAAACTAAGAATTGCTCAAGGCAAGCAAAATTTGGGAGCTACTTGTCTCAAGGGCAAGCTTTATTTCAATTTTTTTTTTAGCATTGTAACTGCTATCTGTTCAATACTACAAGAAAAAACTCTTCTTAATACTATGTAATAAGGGGCAATGTTATGTGTCTGAGAGCTATAACAGTACATACATATGAAAGCAAGCTTAAACATACACTACACTCAGATGGGTACATGAACAATAGAGCAAAACATTTAGTAGATCTTTTCTAGTAGACAGAGTGAATGGTCCATGTCTACACTACCAGAAATATGAATTGTCTGAGTAAGTTAACAGGAACTGTACCAGCCTGCAGAGCAGACGAGATTTTTTCGAGCGAGCGCTCACATTGTAAAAAGTTTAGCCTCCATCTTGAATTTTTCATGCAGTAGAAGACTGGAGAGAGAAAGAAAGTTTTACCAAGGGGGTGAATGATAGGCAAGAGGAAGGATAGGGGAGGAGGTGGAATCTTCTCATTTTTCCCCTTCCTCATCCCCCATCGTCTAACATGGCGGTCATACATGGCGGTTGGTAGGCTGTAACGCTAGCTCGCCCTAATAAGACGCCTGCATCCCCCACCATCTAACATGGCAGTCATACATCGCGGTCGCTAGGTTGTAACGCTAGCTTGCCCTAATAAGACGCCTGCACTGCAGGCTAGAACTGTACAATTAAGTATGTGTGTACATTGTATATGCTTTCTGCAGAGTTCAAAACATGTCTAGCTGTCCATATTTATGTGATGAATGTATTAATAACTACAAATGGATGTCCATAAAGCAGGGTTTGACTATATGCCACCCCTGATAGTACTTAACTATGAACAGTATCTTTTGCCCCCCCCAAAAAAAAAAAAAGCTTCATTTTGGAATTTAAGAATTTAAGAATTTTTTAATATGACTAGTACCCTGTTTAATTACCAGCATAGGTAACACTGTTAACCCTGTTCCACTGTAATTTGAATAAATGCAACTACAAAGAAAGCATCACACATATACCCACCTCATAGACAATTGGCACAACAAGACTTCCAAGAAATGCTGAGACAAATCGTAAATACCAAACATGCTGCTCATATTCGCCAAGATCTGAGGAAAGATTTGTAATGATGCTGAGTGTCAGTTGAAACCCATGGCATTGTCTCAACATGTTTGTTAGGATGCAGTGTGCAGTGCTGGGCTATTTTCTATTATTTTGCAACATAACTGTAATAAACACTCTTGGCAAGTGGCCTTCAGTATGCATATTTAAAACATAATTATATATGATTGGATTTGAGAGGTACAAAAAATCATAAAATGCAAAAGGGTGTTTCTATATCAAAGTGTCACAACTGTACCTTGTCCTATATCAGCAAATGAAAACTGACCATCATATCCAGAGACGTAAGCTGAAATTCAAACAGCAATGAAGGATTTGTCATTCGTGACATTCAGTCAATACACCTGCCAGTTGAGCTTCACTCTTGTCAGTGACTTGTTTTAGAACACAAAGGCAGGTCTGGAGACCATGTACAAGACAAGTATTCATTTATTAGCTGTTAGCTAACAAGAGCAATGAATCCAAATAATTTGTGGAGTTCATGCCAACCATTAAGAATAATTGAAAAAATTAATAATCATGACGCCTTGCATTACCTGCTAGAGCAAACATGAGTTTTCCTAAAGGTGGATTGACATCATAGAAGAATTGGTTTTTCATGAAAAAGTTAGTAAACTGGCCAAAATGTACTTCATCAAATCTGTAAATTAAAAACAAATCATTCAATCAATTCAAACAATTTCATTCATTCCAATCAATTTACTATCACAGTGCCTCTCTCAACCTGGGTGTATAAATCAGCATCGGTAAATTTAATACTGGGGGTAACCCAGCAATGGACTAGCATCCTATCCAGGGGGGAGTAAAAATGCTGTCTCCTAGTCGCTTCATGCTACTGAAACTGGAGATAAGTGCCAGACTGATGAGCCACTTGGCTCATATGCAGACTTTACCTTAGCTACTTACATGTAATTTTGGGCTTTTTGTATGATGCTTTAGAAAAAGAAGGGAAAATCAGCCACCTAATCCAACAATAAGGCTACCTCCTTCAAAACTTTGTATCTGACTTGAGATGAATCATGGTAAATCCTAAATTTTTTCAGTTCAATTAGACTGGAAGTGGTGGATTAAATCTTGGAACAAACTAAGACATCAGTTACTACAAAAGAAACTGTTTGGGCTGTGTTGGTGGGCAAGTAAAACAGTGAGCAATTTCAAGTGGATAAAGGTAAATTAACCAGTAACAGTCTGAAGACAATGTTTTGAGCATTGGCCCTGCATCAGAGCAAAGTGCAAAAAGTGGTCTCTTCTTAAATGCTTGAAATACAAAGCATGAAAAGGTTATGTTCACTTTGCTCTGATGGAAATCACCCGATCCATTTAGTACATGTAATGTTACATCCATACTGTTAGGTATACAGACACTTTAACCTAACTCGCAGGATACTGGAAAATGTACCATTGTACCATAGTTTACCATCAGTTGTACCTAAGCACAAAAACGCGATTAAAAAAAAAAAGATCTAATTGGGTATTGAATGACGCATGACTTACACTTCAACTGTCGCAACTGCCGGCAATTAATGCCAATGCATCTGATATGCAATCAAAATATGAATTTGCAGACCAATCATGCAACCCACGATTCCCAATAAGATCATATATTTTCTTCATAAGTTCATACCTAGATGCGACCAGTGGTAGGTTTACTTACATGACATGTTTAGGAGTGGTGAGTTGCCACATCCTTGTACCAAATGACAAGCCCACTAGAATCAGCCACACAAAATTCAACTCAACATTCATTGCAAAAGGGGGCAAAGCTTCTCTTTCACTTTGTTCTCTTTGTGCTTGCTTTTCTTCTAATTTTTCCTGTTGGTAAATTTTCCGGAATTATCTCTCAAATCATTGCCTGTAGCATGCTGAACTGACACATAAATTTCACCTCTGGCATGGAGTTGCTTTCAATTGAGTGTTAAAAGTAATCAGGCTTTGGTTTTGGTTTTACTATGATTTGAGATTTGGCTGAGTAGTCTAATTGGTAAGCAGGGATGGCAGAGCATATTTTGAATTGGGGGNATGCCTTTTTTTCTTTTTGGCTTGAAATTCCCCCCTGGCTCTGCCATCCTTGGTAAGTGATTGGTTTGGTTCTGGTTTTATGACACTCAATTGAAAACCACTCTATGAATTTTAGTCAGGAGATTCCCAAGGAATATTTTTAGGGTTTGGCTTCTGAGCCAGAACCCTGCTGGGCAATAACACGTAATCATTATCAAATACCTTTTAAAAATAGTTGGTCATTTGATGGAGCAATAAATTTAATTAATAACAAGAATAGTTGGTTATGTTATGAAGCAATCAACATGTAAGTTAAGTTACATTTTGTTCCCACTTCAAATCTCTGAAGAAAACTCTGTTGTAAATGATTTTAAAATACTAACGGACGCAAACAATGAGATAGAATTTTGATCATTTCTTTCATATTATTTCAGGGCATCTTCACTTGTAGCAAAAAAAAAAAGTTACTACAAGGGTTCTACAGTATTAACACGACATAAATTCGAATTAGAAATATAAGGAACATAAAAATATAAGCTTAAGCTTAAATAAGCCTAGAGCTGAATTTTAAACCAACTTGAGTAGTAAGCTCAAATCTAGAAGTAAGCTTTCGAGTAAGTTCATTTGAATTTACACTTTCAAAGAAAAAGCAATTGAAGTAAATATGCCTTTACCACCCGGGCTTTAACAATCGTTATTGACAGCATTTTATACAGCAAAAAGCTGGTAAATTGGGCAAATTATATGGTATACTGTCAGCTTTAATATGCAAATAAATTTCCCAATATCGATCCATAAATTTAATTTTTCCTTGTAGCCTCTAACCTTAATTTCTCTCAGTTGTTCTCTTAATAAAGAAGTTCGGATACAAAACAATGTTTTAGAAATCTGCTGAAAGAAATGTACCAGGAAAATCGATCATATCAGACAAAAAACACACTCTCGTTATAAAACAATTTACATAGCTGGACGAAGATCCAAGAGCTACAGCTTCTGCATTCTGCTTCAAATTAGGTCTTACCTGAACTTCAAGACCCTTGAGAGGTTCGCCAGCTTTGCGTTCAAAGTCGCGCTCACTTGGACTGGTGTGGACGTCACTAGAGTTTGCCAACTCACTGGTCATTATATTCAAAACGTAATTACCATGGAAAACTAGAGGTTCCTTGGTAAAAATGCATACTTGTAGCAGGTAATTACATTCGGGAGAGCGAACGCGCGTGTAGCTTTGTAGCCGCGCTTGTCTAGGAATGATGCCACAGGCAGCTCACTCTAAGGCTGCGAAAACTCATGCAAAGCAGAATGTAGCACAGCATCTTTAAAATTTTTCAAGCTCTGAGTCCCGGGAGGTACTCCCAGTAAATTGGGTGGGGATGTGCAGCCCGCTTCCCAAAATCCTTACCCTATTTATGACCAAAATCGGCAATTTTTCCTACCCTATTCAAAATCTGACCAAAAATTTGATATCCTATGCAGCTGGTACAGTTACCTTAAACATAATTTATGAAGGGCTTTTGTTGGTATTCCTATCAGTAATGATGAAAAAGTAGTTTCTGCTGAAAATCTTTCTTAATAAGACCAGGGTACAAAAAACCATTCCCTATTTGAACCAAAATGGCCAAAATCGATACCCTATTAATTTTATGACCAAGGTAAGGTAAGGTAAGGTAAGGTAAGGTAAGGTAAGGTAAGGTAAGGTAAAGTCTGCATGCGAGCCAAGTGGCCCATTAGGCCGGAGCTTATCTCGGTTTCTGTGGCATGAAGCGACTAGGAGTATTTCTACTCCCCCCTGGATGGGATGCTAGTCCATCGCAGGGTTACCCCCAGCATTAAGTTCGCCAGTACCCATTTATATACCTGGGTGGAGAGAGGCACTGTGAGAGTAAAGTGTCTTGCCCAAGAACACAACACAATGTCTCCGGCCAGGACTCGAACCCGGACCGCTCGATCCGGAGACGAGCACACTAACCATGAGGCCACCGCGCCTCCCAATTTTATGACCAAAATGGCTGAAAAACCATACCCTTTGGGACCGCACATACCTATATAACCCATCTAAGGGAGTAACCCCCCGGCTCTGAGTACAGTGTGAAAATTAACTTCTTTTTGCAGGTATATTAGTTTTGTCCCGCTTTCCTCCAAAAATCAACTATTCAGGTTTGTTAAACTATGAATTCACTGGAAAAGATTCTACAGCTAAGTGGGGGAGGGCCTAGATAGTACGATCCTTCCCTTACAAACAAAGATTTTGAATAGAGGTAGATATGGAAGTATGAGGGAGTAGTTATAGGTAAGGTATACATATATGTACAAAGGTAGCACCCCCCACTCCTCTAAGCCCGGTCTGCATAAACACGTAAACAAGCTTTCTCTTCAATAAGGCTAATCACAAGGGTATTTTTCTGGTACCACACAATAACAATTTGATAACAGAAGTGGTGAAAGGTAGACTAAAGGCTAAAAGTCTCACTACACAGGTGCACTAATCTGAGGGTCTGGGTTGGGTTTATCTGATGGCTGAGAATTGGTCAAAATTTTAACCTTCAGTGGACAAGTGATGACTGGAATTTAACTGATAGCTCAGAAATCACCAAAACTTTGGCTGTTTACTGGGATTCCAACATCCCAATCCACTAGACCCTCTAGTCTACCCTGCCAAAATGCAAAAATTCCATTTTGTTACCATGTACGGTTTAGTGAGGAAACAATGAGCGCAACAAACAAGTTTGAACTTTATTGATTATCAATAAAGTTGAACTGTCAATGTAACTAATCATTACTATATAATCTTTCCTTATGACAAAAAACTACCAATTTCCTCAGACTTGAGTTACTATCACCATCAGTGATTGAAAATGTACTATTCACATTCAATATGTACTATAAACTGCAAAATTAATACTGACTGGTAGAAATTACATAATGCAATAACTTAAATAAATTTTAAATAAGTTTAATAGCATAGAAAATTTCCCTTATGTTTAATTTATTTTACATATTTTGTGATAAAATCTTCAAATACACAGCAACACTTGAACAAAAATAAAAACAACAACTACAAATAATTTTTTTCCTTTAGTTCAGGGACATCAGTCCATTCTTTGATTGCTTATTTGTGTATTTTAAAAGAGAACATGAACTCAAAGCATATTTGTGTACATAGATTACAATATTTTATATTACTTCCTCAGGAAATTACAATGAAAGATCTCTTTAAGAACCGAGTATATATATTTACTGGGCTATAAAATTAATAATATTAAAGAATATTGAGTCATCTTATCAAGTTACTGCATATGCCAATTTTCCTAACTAACCTGGAATATGCCGTGTGCACTTAAATCCAAAGGTATTTAAAGAGTTTCGTTAAACACTATTACACATTAATAAGTTTCATGGACATCTTCTTTGATAACATTTGACAGCCTACGTGAAAATTATGTCTGTTACATTGCATTTGTTCACAAAGTTTGTGAGCTAACTCATATCTCAACTACATAGTGCTCATCCATTCAAAATTCTGACTTGTAATTCAAATTATATTCTTACATAACCTAATAAACATAATTACTAATAGTTGATTTGAACCAACAATGGAATGCTCATTATAATAATATTTCATATTTCATATTTTGATACTATCATTCTCTTTGACTATCATACCACAATTTCACTAAGAAAGAACCCCTATTGTTGGTACAATGGTTTAACCCCCCTGCTCTATTGAACAATAAATAATTATAATTCAAACTACCAGTATATATGCTTCTCAGTTTTCAAAGAAATCAAATCATCTTCTTTGGATCTACATGACTGGATAAAAAAGGTTTGGTGTTGATTCTTTGATTCAAATTTCAAAACTGATACTGAATATATATAAAAAAACCCTGATCATTCAACCATGGCCTCTAAATCAAGGGAAGCATTAAATTTTCCATTACATGCAGACTGTTCTATATTTTGATCACCTCTAAATATTATCATTTTATATTGCAAACAAAGAGATTTCCAAGCAAGAGATATCGAATTATTGTGTTACATGATAATTATATTTCATGGAGGTTTCCTTCCATAATTTGCATTTTTCATTTGAACATGTGAAACAAGATCACAGAATCTAACCCACCATTAAGTTAAAATATTAACCACCATTTTTTAAGGACAATGCTTCAGTCATTCTTACTGTGACAGATTTGCTAGCTTACCCTGTACATTGTAAACTATATTTCGACCATAGAGTACTTGGTATCTCTGCCTTAAGCTTACATAATATACAAACTTAAATAAACCACAAAGATATTCTTAAGTAAGATTTAAGACGTTACACAAAGTAAGAAGCGAGTTGGGACATCTTGTCCTTTGGCCTTCCTCTACCTTTTCCTCTTCTGCTGCCTCTACCTCGTCTTCCTCCTCTGCCTCGCCCACCTCTGTACATTGGATGCCTTGATGCCGCATGCGACATTTTGACCAGTGGTGCGAGAAGTGGATCACAGAAAAGGCATCCTAGATGTTGAGTTTTATCATCGGGCAATGGTGACTTGGTACGGTTGAAATCAACATTCAGAAGAGTTGTCCCACAATCACACTCTTGATCAGTGGCACTCACTCGGAATGCATCCTCAAAAACATGCACTACAAGATTGCACTTGTTACATGCAAGTCTCCATTTAGGCGCTGATGTTGGATCAAGTACAAGGCTTCCATCATCGCACTCAGTGCAATCTGCAATGCCAAGACTTACCTCAGAATGGGAACAGGTTGGGTGAGTGCACTGATTACAACCCATGCCTTTCCGCATTTCGGGGAAGGGTGGGTGGTTGTAGCAGTAAGGGCAGACTGGGGTACTCTTTCCCTTTCCACCAGTGGACCACAACACTAACTCAAACTCATCCAAGGGACACTTTAGTTCTTTGTAGAGTTTGATGCTACCATTCTGTGGAAGGCTGTAAGTCTCGTCGCACTGAGCACAGTGCAACCGAGTTGGCTTAGCATTGATGTACTTCATATACCGGTTACATTTCCCGCACCTTGACAAAGGTTTTCCAGTGTCTTTTAGCGGAGTAAATGACACCTCAAACAGTTCATCCATGCTTGTGACAGTCTGTACAAAATAAATAAACTTCCTGGTGAAGATACCAAGGGCATGTTGCAAAACAGAGTCAAATTCGGCTTTGCCAAGAGCAATTAGGTTGAGTTGCTGTTCAACAGCAGATCGCATAGTTGGAAGGACAAGCTGTGGATCGATCTTCTGGTAACCATGCACTAGCACAATTCCAAGTGGTGTTGGCTGAAGCTTTCGACCACTCATCACTTGCACATAGTTCCTCTCACAAATATTATTGATGTGAACTGAAATGCTAGCATCTGTGCCAATCCCATGCTTTTCCATCAAGGAAATCAGCTCACTCTCTGTGAGATAATCAGGCGGTGATGTTTGTCGCTCCTCAAGTTTCACTTCAGCAATTTCGTACGCATCATTCTGTTGGCAATGTGGCATGCGTTCATCACTGGAAATTGCCTGCCAGTGCATGACAGAAGTGAAACCTGGGCTGGTGACAGTTTTACCAGTGAAAGAAAAAGTCTCTTGATCAACAGTGAATTTCACTGTTGTTTGCAAGTATTTGCAGTCATAGCTGATACTTGCTATGAAAGATCTTGTGATAAACTCATACAGTCTCCATGCATCACCTCCAAGCTCAGCTTCACTTGCTGGTCTCATGGGTGTTATGGGTGGATGGTCACCAGCGTCATGCCCCTTTCTAGGCTTGTTGATCCCCATTTTCAGAAGTTCTTGGACTGATGAGCTCCAGCTGGGGTTTGTTTGCTGCTGTCGGAGAGTTCCGTTGAGATCAAAATTCTCTGGATAATGAGTTGTTTCAGTCCTAGGGTAGCTTATGTACCCTTGTGTGTAGAGCTTCTCAGCTATCTGCATACAGTGCTGTGGACCCATGTTGAGCCCTGAAGATGCCATACGCAACATTTCAATAGTGTTTAGCGCCATGGGCCTTTGCTTGGCTTTCTCTTTTTTGGAAACACCAATCACAGTTGCCGTTCGTGATGATTTGACAGTTCTTTGAAACATGACAGCCACCTCTTTGTCAAACAATCTACCCCTGTCCCACTCAAGGTGCATTGTTTGACCACTAGGGTGGAGTACCTGGGGCTTGAGAACCCAGTACGGTTCAGGTTTAAATGACTGTATCTGGTCATGGCGTTCCACACAAAATCCAAGAGTGGGTGTCTGGCAGGGACCATAAGATATCAACGCACTATCCAGGTCACCATATTTACCCTGGAAGTATTTAGTCTGAAATCTTGTAAATGCACAACCAATCCTCAAGTCCAGTTCTTGCCTGGCATCAACAGATCTTGCCTCATTCTTGTTGGGTTCACTGAGGCGATGCATAGCACCACAAATGTCAGTTTCAGTGATTGCAGAAAACTTGGCACGGAAGACAGTCTTGCCTCCTGATCTCTTGTTCATGACAGGCCTGACGCAATCCAGCACCTCAAAACAGATGTTTTCTCCTTCCTTATCACAATCAAGCCAGAGAACAATGAAGTCAACCCCCTTGCCCTCATGCTGCAAAAATTTTGGCATCTGCAGCTTCTCATTGGCTTCTTTCTTCAAAGTCGTAGCCGTGAAGAGCTCTTGAGGATTAACAGCGTCCCAGTTGTTGAACTTGTGATGGAAATCCAAGGTCATTACATGGCCGCACACAGAGGTCATTTTAAATCTCGCCGGCTCTTTGTTGAACTGTCCCGTGTACTCGTGTACAGAACAAGCTCCATTTAGTCCCTTCCGGGTGGTCATCTGGCCCTTGGAGAGAAACTTTGCGATGGACTGCGCCAGAGAAGGCTTCTCTGCTACCATTAAAACAGTCTTCATGGTTGCTGGGCGATGTTTCTGGGCTGTAAATGAAGCCTCAAAGTATTCAACAAAGACGAAATTTTTAGCATTCCTCCACGTGGCATTTAGTACTCTTTGAAGCGGTTGCTTGATGAAGTGTCATGCGTTTTACGGAAGTTGAGCCTCGACTTTGTACTTGTCAGAGGCAGTCTTCAAAGGATTATGCTCAATAACGAGCTCCTGCCCAGGTTCCTCTAATCTGTAATTCAGTGCTTCAGATAGCAATGATAACAAACGCACATTCAGCTGTTGATTTTTAAACTTTACTGGAAAATGACGATACAATTTCGCGGAAAGACAGCTGTTTCGTGATAATTTGGCTCCAGTAGTGATCTGTCAGTCATTGTCGGTTGTATTTTCTCCCTGAATGAGTGATAAATTTGTGACTACATTCGCTGTCAAGGAAAACAAAACATGGCTGAAGTTGCAAGAGACGCGAGTCAGAGACAAAGACGAAGAAGAAAGCGAATGTCGAGAGACCTAGACGATCACACAAACGAGAGCTTAGAATCGCCAAGTTCTTTACCAGAAAGAGTTCCGTTACAAGAAGTCGTAGACGGAGAGAAAGGTGGCGTTCCTCACAGTGCGTCGAACAACTCCGGTGATCAAGAAGGGAGTTCTGGGATTCACCAATCTACTGGGGAAAGACGAAACCGCGCCAGAAGACCTAGAAGGAGATCTAGAATGGAAAATGGTGAGAAGATTGAATTTCCCAGTGCTTATAGTGTGAAGAATTGAATTAAGTTTGATAAAGTGCTTTTAAAGTGGCTTATATAACCAGACATAACTAATCGATGACATCAATGACATCAATGACATCAATGA